TATCAGCTGGTTCAGTCCCAAATGATGGCCAGGGATCACACAAGAACCATCTGATGATGGGTAAAAGTAAAGAGCTCTCTCAAGACCTTCACAACCTTATTGTTGCAAAGCATAATGATGGCATCGGTTACAGAAGAATGTCTAAACTTCTGAAGGTTCCAGTGAGCACTGTTGGGGCCATAATTCAGAAGTGGAAAGAACATCATTTCACCATAAACCGACCACGACCAGGTGCTCCTCACAAGATTTCTGACAGAGGAGTGAAAAGAATTATCAGAAGAGTTGTCCAAGAGCCAAGGACCACTTGTGGAGASCTTCAGAAACACCTGGAATTAGCAGGTACGATTGTTTCAAAGAAAACAATAAGTAATGCACTGAACCACCATGGCCTGTATGCACGCTCACCACGCAAGACTCCACTGCTGAAGAAACAGCATGTTGAAGCTCCTTTAAAGTTTGCTGCACAACATTTAGATAAGCCTGTGTAATACTGGGAGAATATAGTCTGGTCAGATGAGACCAACATTGAACTGTTTGGATGCCAGAATACACATCATGTTTGGAGGTCAAATGGCACTGCACATCAGCCCAAAAACACCATACCAACAGTGAAGTTTGGAGGTGGGAACATCATGGTGTGGGGCTGTTTTTCAGCATATGGTACTGGCAAAATTCAAATAATTGAAGGAAGGATGAATGGAAAAATGTACAGAGACATTCTTGATAAAAATCTGCTTCCATCTACCAGGATGATGAAGATGAAACGTGGCTGGACATTTCAGCAAGACAATGAGCCCAAACACAAAGCCAAGGAAACTCAGTTGGTTTCAGAGAAAGAAACTAAAGCTGCTGGAATGGCCCAGCCAATCACCTGACCTGAATCCAACAGAAAATCTATGGAAAGAACTAAAGATCAGAGTTCATAGAAGAGGTCCACGAAACCTTCAAGATTTGAAGACTGTTTGTGTGGAAGAATGGGCCAAAATCACATCTGAGCAATGCATGCCACTAGTTTCTCCATACAGGAGGCGTCTTGAAGCTGTCATTGACAACAAAGGCTTTTGTACAAAGTATTAGATAAATTTCAGTAAGTGTGTTCAATACTTTTTCCCTGTGCCATTCCACATTATTACAAATAACTTCATTTCTGGACATTTATGGTTTGATTTCTTTGTATGTATGGATCACTTGGGTTGTTACCGACATCTGGTGAAAATTTCATGTCATTAGCACCTCTAGWAATATATTTACTGAGAAATATGGTGACGTGTTCAATACTTATTTTACCCTCTGTATCTCAAGGCAGGAAGTAAAGAAGTTGAATTCAAAACAATTTCACTTTAGTCTAAATCAGTCTTTTTCATTATAATCCAATTAAAAACAATCTAATTTTAATTCCGAAAATGTCTCGTACATTGATTGAATATTTATTTTTAAACCCAATATTATTTCTCTCTGATCTTATTCTGTTGGATCATACCAAATTTAATTTAAAGTTGTTTCATTTTCAAAATGTCACAACTGGTCAGTGTGTGAAAGCCAAGATGCAAGCAGGACTTGAAGACGTAGGTAAAAACCAAGGAAACAAATCTTTTGAGGCAGACAACGCCACTTACAAACACCAGAGAATTGGAACGGGACACATGGAGGATCAGGGTGGTTCACTGACTCGGACACAGAAGGAGCAAGTAAAAGTCTACACTGATTTACAGAAATAGCAAACACCTGGGTGGAGACAACGAGGGTCAGGTGCGAGTGGGCGAGGCAGATACAGGAACTGAATGAAGAAAAACTGAACTGAATGGATGGTAAAACTCAAGAAAAATAACACAAAGGCTGTGTTCATTTTCGGGGGCTGCGTCCTTTAAAGGAAAACAGAAAATAAAGCGCTGACATGACGAGGAGTATCATAGGGAACACAAAGGAGACCAGACTGTGGCATAAGAGCTAATAATGCAATGAACAGAGATTTATATGAGCTGAGGCAAAGAGATGATGAACACCTGAGCTAAAAGCAGAGCTGTAAAGTAACTAAAACAAATACTGTACTTAGTTACTGTACTTAGGTAGAAACTTTGGTTATCTATACTTGAGTGATTATTTTTCAGTTGACTTTTTACTTCCRCTCTTCACATTTTCACCTTACATCTGTACTTTCTAGTCTTTAGAAAAAAGGTAAGAAGTATAAAGTCAATACTCCTGTTTCATTTAGGCTTATTATTGTTCTTTAAGCCATTCTGAAACCTTATTGGTTTGCACTTGATCCATCACACCTGTTTGACACAAATCACGTCACATCCAGCAGGACCTATCAGACATACAATGAGCATGGCATAAAATATTTTGAAGCAAAGCAACAAAGATTTCTGCAGACTTTGAAAAAGCAGAGTTTTGGTGGGAAGAGACTGCTTACAGAGAATTCACGTGAACCAGTAGATTTTTATTTATTTATTTATTTATATATATTTTTAGAAGCCAAAACCTTACAACCTTTCAGCACACAATCTTTTTACTCACAGCTCAATAGAGCGCACACTTTTGAAACCTTTCACCCTCCGTCGTGACTCTGCCTCAGCTGCCAGATAAATGCCCAGAGGAGACTGTCTGATACCATAAACACCCCCCAAGAATTTAACCATGATGGATGGTGTTTTAAGGGATTTTTTTTTTTTCATTTCTCCCAGAAACGCTGTCCCACAGTACCACCCTTCCCCACACACCCACACGCTGAAGTATTAGGACATTTTAAAATCGTTGTTAAAGTCTGTGTACGCGCTGTGCTGAATAAACCTCTTGAGTTATTTAGTACACACACTGCCTGTGGCCCCGTTAGAATCAGGTCTGTTGGGGGAAAAAAAGAGTTTACAGGATTAGATGTTYTTTGTCAAAACAAAAATACAGCAACTTGTGTGTGTAAGCGTGTGTTAGTATTGCTCTGTGTGTGTTTAGAAGCAAACTTGGGTCTTAAGGATGGCACTGTTCTGCTGCTCCCACTTTAATTGGCTGCTGGCCTCTCAGCCTTGCATGAATGGAGAGTCATTTAGGGACCTTTCACTCTCGCAGAGGATTGTCGGGTGCCGCTGAAGGAGAAATTGCATTCCTGTTTCCATACAATGGTTGGTCTGAGTTGGATGGGCCAAGAGTATCACTGTCATTATCATGACAATGGAAGCTAATTCCACCGCCACCGCCACCGTTCTGAAACCCTCTGCCGCCGCCGCAGCAGCTTATCAGGGGGCACCATGAGAGCAGCAGGAAACTGAGAGAGCAAAGGATATGAAGGAAGGACTCGCACATGCAGACACATAAACATTCAGCTCTCTCAGTMTTTTCAGACAGACTGTCACATGCATGAACTAACGCATCAGCGGAAAAAAARGGGAAAGTTTATTACACAGCAAATCTCATTCAATGACACGCKGTGCAGCCAACCTTATTCAGCCAATCCCAAAATGTCCTTGATGGGGCTTCAACTTTGTGTGGGAGGAATGAGATGTTCTGTAATGTTTTCATGTTTTGCACCATGCAGCAAACCGAGAGAGGGAGAGAGAGAGAGAATAGGAAATATGCAAAGTAGAAGCTCAGTGGAGCTCAAGGACAATTACAAAAGTTTAACCCGGTGACCTCATCACTCTTTCGTTCATTTGAGTCATTTCACCGCTCCGCTGCTTTGTTCTGACCCGATTATCTGCAGCATTTTACCCTCTCCTGTATGAGTGTATCATCATCATCATCACCATCATCATCATCGTCCCACTGCATGCTGTCAGAACTATTCTTACCCCAACTTAATGTAAAGAAAACATTTCGAGTTGTGGACTTATTTTCTGCTGACTTTAGATGTAAAATAATGACTGGAACAAAAATCTTGACAACTCATGATTAGCAAAAATAAAAAATAACAAAACCCTCACAAACAAAAAAAATAAAAACTGCAGAGTGAAGAAACAGAAAATGGTTTGCTAGCATTTACAGTTGACAGGTTTAAATTGCTCTTTTAATGGTCTTAGGATAAAAACACATACAGAGGCAGATTTCAGTTTTGCTTTCTGTTCACTTCCTTCAATCCTAACTGTGTCATCATCTGTTTGTGCAAAATGATATTAATTTAGACAGGGCTAAATAAAAAATATATATTTATATATTTGTTCATCTTAATGGCGCAGCCATAAAATATGACAAGTGTGAACCATGTGCACATGTACACTACTCTTTAAAAGGAAATATTCTTGTTCCTTTAACTTTAGGATAAAACAGTGTTATAGTAAAGTGGTAATAATTCACTTACCTGGCAATTCTTCAAATARCTGCTAAATTTCTATAAAYCCTAATCTWGTTTACCAGGATAAAATTAAAGCATTATCATTACGGTTTTTAATCTGAAAACCTCAGATTAACATCCAGCATGGTGTACACACAACAATGCACTGTTTGCATTTACTTATCYAGAATGTTTAGGAAAATGGAGGTTTAATTATTTAACTTTTACCTTTAATGTTTTTGACCGTTGTGTCCTTTTCTCTCTACTCCAAACAGGCGAAGTCTGTATTTTCCAGGCAAATCCCACCATATTAAAGACAAACTAAATGTCCTAACATTGACAGACCAATGTTAAGGACAAAAAAATGTATGAAAAATGTAAGAAAACAAGACAATTCTGATTATTGAAAGAATATATTTTAAAATACAGTCATTTTCAATTAGGTGAAATGTTTTCTTTATATTAAGTTTGGGTAAGAATAGCACGACAGCTCAGTGGTTRGCACCGACGCCTCACATCAAGAAGGTCCTGGGTTCGATCCCCGGTTCAGACCTGGGGTCTTTCTGTGTGGAGTTTGCATGTTCTCCTCGTGCTTGTGTGGGTTTTCTCTGGGTACTCSGGTTTCCCCCACCCCTAAAAACATGTACAATAGGTTGCTTCAGGCCCAGGCCTCCCTTGAAAAAGAGATCTGAGATCTCAGTGGGACTTGCCTGGTAAAATAACGGTAAATAAAAATAAATAATATTAATAAGTTTATTGATAAACCATGCACAGCCAATATATCTACATCAACACAAAACATTTCTGTAAAATTCTCTTTATTTTATGTTTTTAAARCCTTTTGGGACAAAATTAACATTTACTAAAAATTAAAAAAACTCAAAGAGATGTTTCATGTGCATTTTGTGTCTGTCCGTTTAAAATAAAGTTGTTACTAATAATAAATTAACAATTGGCAAACTGTACACCAACGTTRGTGATCTGAATCACTGAGTACAGCACACCTATTTCAGCCCTTTGAGAAATCCAGGTCACCTGCTTTCCTCCCACTGTGCGATGTGCTCTGCAGCTGCAAAATACAAACACACACACACACAAACACACGGTAAACATGCAGACATGCTAATACACAAATAAACTGAAAAGCGTGTGTGGAACMGTGCGAGTCTGGCACAAGCCCTCATTTGTAGCCTGCAATTTTCACTCACAGATGATTATGAAGAAACTTTTAATGAGACTTGAAACGTGGATTCATCTTCACGCATACAAAAAATATATATATAAATAAATAAAATGTGCCGTGCACAGACACAGTCCTCTGGAGGAACAGAGCTCTGTCTGCCTCAGGCTGAGTGATATCCACTTATCATTTTATGACCAATTAACAAAGCAGTGCGCTGATGCCTGGGAGTTACTCTGAGAGGCTTAAACTTAAAGTCTTTGTTGATTCAGCCAAACTTTACTCTTATTTAGAGAAAATGAACTTAATATTCACACAAATAGAATAAAATTAACCGACACAAACATATCAGTCCTTCTTTTGACAACAATCTATTATACTTGCTTTGCACTGATGCAAATTTTCAAAATAGCATCAATGTGAAGTTTTTAAAAAGTTCTTTGTAAAAAACGTTGTTTTTTCCCACACATTCGGCCCTTAGTGATTCAGCACACCAGAGCTTTGGAAAGACACACTCAAGCGGGTAAAACTGAATGTCTGCCACCATCTGATCCTTCTCAATCGATGTGTGTGTGTCTAAACACTGCGGCTCTTTGTGAAGCAGGCGTCCATCGATCGCCTGAAGGTTCATGATGGTGAGTACTGAGTGAGAATCATTCTGACGGTCCGGGCACCGTCACACAGGGAATTTTGTCTTGTTTTGACATTATTACTGGACTCAGTGGATTAACATTTTACTCTCAGCTCTGCAGTGATTAGCAGTGACTCAGGCTATGAAACAGGTAATGCTAATTATCTGGACACAGTGGAGCTCAGCAGGTAGAGCGAGTGACAGCAGCAATTTGAAAAGCCTGTTTTACTGTAAAAGGGAAAAACAGCTTAAGTGTTACAAAGCTTCAATTTATGAGATGCCAAGTGTRAAATAAAATGTTAAAACATGTCAATAACACATTTTTATTATATWGCKCACTTTCTGAGTGTAAATTTCTGTTATTTAGCTCACYGTTTTACATTTTGTTAATTTTTAYTAAATGRTAAATAATAAATGTGAAATCTRACATCTAAATGTGTTAATCTASACRTAAAAGATAAATCTTAAATGTTGTAGCCAAATGTTGAAGTTTACATTGAAGTATTTCAGCATAGAACGCAGCCTTTGCTGTTGGTGCTCAGCTCTTAGGACATCATCATTCTGAGACAGTAGCAATGGCTAACACKAGGACRACATCAAATTTGCAAATGCAGCCRGTGTCTGAGCTGCACTTCAAACTGCCGGACCACAGGTCCCATCCATATTGTTTTYAATAAATATATTTTGAGTTTAGATTTTAAATACCATCTTCAGCGGCGTTAGTAACGTTAGCAGCAGCAGTTAGCGTTGGCTAACCAGGMTGATGTCAYCATTAACTAAGAAATGTATGCTAACCACTGTTAACACTGCAAGTTTGATGACTTGTAGGGAAGCATTRTCTGCATTCAAGTGTTAGCAGCACAAGCAGCGTTAGCAGCATTAGCTGCTWATTAGCATTAGCCAAAGTTATTGGCCTGTTTTTCTGTGGTTGAATAAAAGCAGTCAAGGGTAAATATTTCTACCTGGGTTCATAAAGGTTCAGTTGTGTTGCAGTAAAASTGTTTTAATACCTCTGTTATAATTTTAGCTGCTGCTCACGTAAATTCTTTGCTATCTGAAACCACACAAAGTTGAAGGCTGAACATTAAGGCAGGATTTATGTAATTTTTGTTCTTGCACCGTTTCAGWGTTGCAGCACGATTCAAAGGTTTTTGCGCCCTGCAGGATATGAGCTGTCAGCTTTTAATGCAATCTCAGACATTGCTTTTTGGGGCCATGGCTTCCTCAAAAGTTAGAAGAAAAGGCCAGGCAAGCTGAAAGTTCAAAGCTTTACAAATCCTTTTCAAAACTGGTTCCCAAAAATTAGCAGTCAGCAGTTGTTCACATCAAAACTGATGAAGATTCAAAGGTGAATGTGGCCAAAAGATGCTAGGAACCCATTATTTTTATTGCTTTTTCTTCAGTTTATTGTGTACTGTAATTAAAATGTCAGAAAACAAAACTTAATATTAAATCCAGAAATGGAGAACTAAAACTTAAAAAAAACCAATAATAATCTATTTGTCTGCAAAAGCAGTGGCACTGTGGCTCAGCTAGTTCAGCTGTTGCCTCTCAGCAAAAAGGTTGCTGGACTGAATCCCAGCCCGAGACCTGGGTAGAGTTTGCATGTTCTCTCTGTGCATGTGTGGATTTTCTCCAGGTACTCTGGTTTCCTCCCACAGAACAAAAACATGCCTAACAGGATCAGTGGTAACTCTAAATTGTCCCTATCKGTGTGAGTGACTGCTGGGCACCAGTGACCCTGAAAGGAAGAAGTAGGTAAAAGATAATGTTAAGAGAGTTGGGTTTTTGCTAACTTTTGGACAGGATTAAACATCAGACCGAACTGCAGAGTCTGAACAAAGGACCAAACAGTGCCTGGCGCTGAATCTGCTTCGAACTGGAGCGTAGGGTTAAAGGTCACGCAGCTGCAAACTCCATCTCCGTCCTGCAGCTCCATCGGCCTTGCAGGAAGAGCCTTGGATAAGTCATAAATATTTGGAACGGCCACCTTCCCCCGGCTGGACCTGAACACTGATGCAACTAGTGAAACCTGAGTCCTCTCTCTTCAGACAAAGAAAAGGGTGGAGGATGAACATACTGTATGTTTAAACTGAATGTGCATATTTAGCAGGGACTATAAAGATCATGGAYGCTCCCATGGGACTCAGATCTTCTTGGGGCTTTCCTGACTAAAAAAACCCTCTGTGAGGCATCTTTGTCTGTAATTTTTGATTTTTTTTTCTTTTTATTATTAAAACACAAAAACCCCACTCTTGATCCTGGTGTCTTATTAAAGTTTGGTAAGTCATTTTTCTTCTGTATATTTGCTGGTTTTATTAAAAGGTCGAAAAGGGTCTCTCTTTTTTGGCTAGTGAGTAAAAATGTGTTTGAATAAAAACTATTCATTTTATTTGAAAGAACACCTGTGTGGTTGTGAGGCCAAGGAAGAAATTGGCGACCTTGAGTTGCAGCTTGAGACATCAAATTACCGGTGAAATGAAAAATAGATTTAGTTAAAGCTCTGGAGACCAAACCTGTAACCTTTTAGAGAAAATTGTTGAAGATGAAGAGTAAATGTTGCTGCAGCAGGTAAATGATTGTAAACAAATCTACCTCAAAATGTGCAAGTTAAAGGTTTAGCCTCACCTTCCTTGAACCAAAACATCAAATACCTGAAATAACTTCCAAAGAGAGGTATAAACAGCCAATCATTTTTGACAAATGAATGAAAGAAATATAATCTGAAAAGTTCTTCACTGTTAAGAGTTTGCTGAGGTTTTGAAAATGTGAATTTTGTAATTTTTGTTTGCTCAAATATTTGTTTTCCAACACTGATATTAAGATATTTTAATGGAAACTAAAATTAGTCTCACCTTTTCAAGAAATTTGTCATAAATTAAAGATTGGAACCTGGTGAAAAAGAATTTTTCCCCCCAATGATTCCTTTGGTCCTCAACTGAATTTGGGTTGCACATCACATTTGTGGTRTGCATGTCCCACTCGATAATACTGGGGACCAGTAAAAACAACATTTATTTCCCTTCATTGACTTTCTCCTGAAGGGGYCTTACCATGCTGGCAAATGAATCGGTTCTGTGTTTTGCAGCGCTGGTCATTCCAGTTGAAAGCGTTTATCGCCTGCAGCTCTACACAGTTTCCAAAACTGCACAGAAAAAAAAGAGATTCAGTGAGTAAAATACAGAGATTTGATCTTCATAGAAGAGCTGGAGCCCAAATGTTCAGTTTGAATCAAACAGGGCCCTTTTTTTCTTTGTTTGTTTGTTTGTTTTTTGTTTTGAATCAGAAACAGATGACTAATTTTTAATAGTAACTCTGTTCAAAGTAAACATTTGCAGAATATAGATTCAACAGTCGGAGTCTTAGTGAGTTGGCAGCATCATTGATATGTGCTGCCAGAACAAAGAATAAGGGGGAAAAGAGGATATTAAATTAGGATAGATGAAGAAAAACAGAGAGGAAGAAGAGGGACACCTATTGGTAATGGTGAAGGTTGCATGTCAGGCAGGAAACATTAAAATTACTACATTTTAACCTGTAACAGAATTAAATATTTATATTTTTTCACTTTATTTGCAGTAATCTTTTACATGTTGCAGGTGAGAAGCAAAAAAAAAAAAACACCCTTAAGCTCTTGAAGAAAAATAGATTTTTCACTAAATGATCTGTTTCATTTGTTTATCTGCGTCCCATGCCCTCAGCTGTCTCTGCTTCAAATGTTTATAAAGTGTTTCTAAATGTGTTTCGTACCCTTGGTTGTCAGGTTGCCCAAAGGCAAAGCTGCTGTATCGAAKGATCTCTCCTGTGTCCCAGCGAAATGACTCTTTTGGAATCTTATATGTCAAACCTGTGAAGACATAAAAAAAAGCACAGTGATTGTTGTTTGATCTATGTGCCATTTACAGTGTTTAGAAGAAAAAAAGTAATTTGGTAGCGCCCTCCAGAGCTGTTTTAACATTTATTTGATGTACCGATCCAGAAGTTTCTTGTTTCAGAGTCGGTGACTTCATTGCTCGCCTCCAGCTCACTCAGATAAAACGTCAGGATGTCTTGAACTTTCTGGTTGTGGATTTGAGCTAAAACTCCCCCAAGTTCCTGTTGGGTTTTTTTAAAACAGAGAAACATGCAAACTCAAGCAGAAAAATTCATCCTATTTGAGTTATTTTCTATATCTGATGACAGACGTTCTCTGTGGGGAACKGTTTCTCCCACCTGACAGCGACTCTTGGCTCCGTAGTACGAATCAGAATTTGATGAGACCATGAAGCAGGTTCCATCTATTGTCACATCACAGGTATGAAGTGGAAACTGCACCTTTTCTGTTTAGACACAAACAGTCAGAAAACAATGACAATAAATTTAATATATATACCTCAAATTGATTATTCTCATCTTTTAGAGTATGGTACACATGGTTGACACTGTTATTACAACAGATCAAAATAAGTATATTGATGCTTGTTGTGGAAAAAATTGACTAAATACAAACTAMTTAATAAAATGTACTTCAAAGTGTATAACTGTAGTACTTCCACTTSATATCTATTCTGGGTTAGATTAGTTAAGACTTCTTTTGAACACAGCTCATGGTTTTTATTGTTGAATAATTTTGTATAAAATGTACTTCTTAAAAGTTATATAAAACAAACAAAATTAGGTACACAAAAGATTCATCTCCAGCTTCCAAAAGCTTAGAAATTTAGTGGTTCATGCTAACACTATCTGCTAGGCCTTTACATCGTTGTTAGCTTTGCATCACATTCTGCCAGAAATGTTTTTATATTCCCGCATAAAGGGCACCAGGTCGCACTGGAATCACTACAGCCACCTGCTACTGCAAATGACCATAGATATTTATAAAATAGTTATGCAATTAGCCATTAGCTCATCAGTTTGKTAAGAATTCAGCTCCATTTCTTCAAACTGGGGTTGTTCCAAGAGCCATCTATAACAGGTAAGACACTGATTGCTCATAGCCTATTTCATGAGATCTGAACTATTCATTTTTTTAAAAAAAAATTCAAACTGACCACAATAAAACAAAGTATCACAAAGAAATGGACATGAAAGAAAGAAAATTAGGCCACTAAATAACCCCAGTTTGATGCGAAATTTTTAATAACAAAATTAAACTAAACATATTGAAACGTTTTTACAGTTTGTGTTTCCGTTTGTTTTCAAGGTTTGAATATATTAATCTTTATTAGAACATGTGGAGAACRTTTTATATGTTTGCTGTTGAATAATAATGTAACATATCTATCAGAGGTCTTTGCTGTAACCTTCATCAAATCAATGAAGGTGCTCACAATAAGAGTTTAGCATCAACAAGAAGTGATGAAGACTGCTGCAGAGTAAAACCTGCTGAAGTAAACAGAAGAACTCACCTGCACACTCAGCACCACCGTAGCCAACGTCACACACACAGGAACATACTTCTTGTTTGAAATGACCGTGAACACACTGCGTACTGCATCTAACTGACAAACACAAGTACAGCAATACCTGTTTCTACACTTTTCCTTGTTTCTATGAGAAACTGCACAGAACAGACCAGGTTTCATGGGCGTTACCCTGACAGAAACGTCCAGTAAAGCCCGGGTCACACTTGCATTTGCAGGCTGGAACATTCAGCTGCCCGTGCTGACCACAGCTCATGCGACACGGGTTCTTTGGAATCTCTGAACAAACATMAGCATGGAGGTTACTTAAAATATACATATTTAAAAAAAATACAAAATCTGAGTCACTACGCTGAATTCTAAGTATTCATACCACACAGTCCACCTTCATGATCCCAAAGTCTGAAACAGCCAGACATAGACGAGGTGCAGAGAGAGCAGGACTCGCCCGTTTTATAGGGCGTCACCAGACGACTGTTCACCTCCCAGTTTCCCCTGCATCGACACAAACACACCATAAAGTGACTCTTTTAAATAATCGTTATTTACTTTACATCGCCAGACAGAAACATACAGAGTCACCAGATATGGAGCTGTAATTTTTTTTCTGTTTCTCTTTCCTGGGTCACAAGAAGCTGGTGTCTRTCTCCAGCAGTCACTGGGTGAGAGGAGGGAAACACCCGCACCTATCTATAAGGGCAATTTAGAGTTCATTTAACTGGAATGTTTTTTGATCTGTGAAAGAAAAACAGAATACCAGGAGAAAGGTGAAAACCCACATGTGCACAGGGAGAACACACAGAGATGCTCCGGACCAAGAGGCGATCCTGCAACCTTCTCACCGAGAGGTGGCAGCTTTAACTTTGGCTTTAACTTAACTTTAACTTTTTTTTTCGGGCGGCATGATGGCGCAGTGGTTAGCACCGACKCCCCACAGCGAGAAGGTCTGGRGTTMGATACCCGGTTTGGACCTGGGGTCTTTCTGTGCRGAGTTTGCATGTTYTTGTGCTTGCGTGGGTTTTCTCCGGGTACTTCGGTTTCCCCCACCCCACAAAAACATGTACAATAGGTTGTCTTCAGGCCCAGGCCGCCCTTGAAAAAGAGATCTGTGACCTCAACGGGACTTGCCTGGTTAAAGAATGGTGAATAAATTAAAATAAAATAAAATAACCATGGAGCCTCCGCTGTCTCATTTAATTTTTATTCTAATTTGTTTAGATAACTGGAACATTTATTTTTTCAAGTATTTAAGGAGACTTTGTCATTCGCATCACGTGAGGTGGAACAAAATTACGTCCCTGTTAACCCCAAACAATATATAAAATATAATTG